TTAACAAAGCAAATCAGTACTGACAAGTTTACATGGTGTCGATCCTCCATCGGCTTAGCAAAAATGTAAGTAGCATGGAGATGGCAAGTATAGGAAGGATGGAAGTGGTACAACAAAAGTGACTTTAAGTGGGAGAAATGTTGAAAGTAAAGCCACTTTGTTTGACCCAAATTGGCATTCAATGTCGAAGGAAAAATGTGCAGAATTGGTGGAAGTTGGCAGGAATTGGTTGCACTGAATTTCTAACTTCAATTAATTCACGTGGTGATAATTGCCTATAAATATGGGCAAAAGCTGAAGAGGAAGTAGCAAGCAAATTGAGAGGAATTGAAAGTTTGAGTAGAGAGAAAATTATAGAGAAAAATATTGTTTTCTCCCGAGTGTTTCTTACTTAGTTTCTCCTATTATAAGAGAGATTAATTATTGTTATCTTCTTGTATTTAGAGAGTTATTGTAATTCTCCTATACTTGTCCGTGGACGTAGCCTAAATTGGGTGAACCACGTAAATATTTGTGTCCAATTTTTTTCCGTATTTTCTCAATTCCATATTTCATTGCAAGCCAAACTTGACCCACGTTTTACTAACATAGCAAAGGGTACGAGACTTTGCTAGATTTGGTGGAAACTGTAGCCAGTGACAGCTTCGATCTGTACTTGGATTATTTATGTATAATAAAAGGGTTCTGCTACAAGTACATCGGGATGTACCCCCAATGTACAAGAAGAATAGTCCATAATAAAAATGCAATGGAGCAAATAAAGAGATTGGATTAGGCATTTGAGTGTGAAGTTGAGGAAAGAAGGTGGTGGTGATAAGAAGAGGGTAGTGGAGGATGAAGGGAGATTTTTTATTTTTATTTTCTATTATTTATTTGGGATTGTTTCTCTTTTTTGAACAATTTGAAAATGTGATTACAATTAGTTCATTATTTTTTTCTTCTTTTCTTGAGAATATATTCATCATTTCACAACTTTTTATTGAAAAAATAGACAACAATGAAACATCCTACACTAATGTGGGTGAATGTTGCACAGCATGTCTAATGGATAAGGAGGGTTTTGAGCTAATCAACCTATTTTGTCTTTAGCGATTTCAATTTTACGTACATGCTTCTTTATCAATTCAAAAACGACTTGAATAAGTTTGCGAGCGCGAGGAGAGTAGACTCAAAAAGCATTCGAGTCCATACTCTTCGCTCAAAAGTAAAGGTATATATTTTATTTATCAATCCATTAACAATTATGAAACTTGATTAGGACGTGCTACTTCTCTGACATCGACAATTTTATTATCCAAATTGAAATTATGAGTTTCAGCTTAGTATGCACTTAACTAAACTTGGCACTTTCAAAATAAAAATACTAATTACTCCTTTCATGTTTGAAAATGTAACAAACAAGAAATAATACAGTTTTTCATTTTGTACTTTAAATAGACGGCAAATACGTTTTCACTGTTTCGCGACGATTTGCTATTCATTACGTCAAATATTACAAAAATATTGTGAAAGAAAAAAAATTACTAACAGAAATATATATGAATTTGGAAATTAGAGAATAAACAGAATAACAATATAGTATTAAGAATAGAGAATGAACGAAATGGTGAAGAAACTGAAATAAGCTAGACAAACACACTCGTTACCCACAATTTATTACTCACTTTTTTATCCACACATTCGGTAGAATTCAGCACGATTCATATGATTATTTAAATATTGAATAATAAAGTATTTAAAAAGGATAATCTTAAGCAAAAACAAACAGGCAAAATAATTCTTATTTCTTGTCAATTGAAACAGAAGTACGTTTTTTATTAACCAGAACTCACGTAATTATTTTTGGAGAAAATGAAGCAACCTCTTGTTTCATGAACTAAAAGATAAGCATGTTTTCAAATGAAAGAAATCATCGAAATTTAGGCATACATCTCGTCGACATTGCACTCCCCCAAGAAAACCTTAATGCTCCTGGGCGATCCACAACTCCCCTCAGCAATAAGAGCTCTATCGTTAGCAGCCATGTGTGCAATTATCTTGTATATCATTTCAATCTGCCACCAAAAACCACAAATCAAACGCGCACCAAACTGCGTTTTATAATAAATTTGGATGAAAATGCGTTAAAGTGATTTCCGTGCACATTTACAGTCTGCAGTATTAGATCATATTGAACAGTATAACAGACAACCTTTTGAGGTTCTGGTTTTTATTTAGGGAGTCTTTGACACCAATTTTAATGGGTTGAAAAATTTTGGAATAGTGATTGATGGGAGAATGTGTGGTGGAAAAGTGATGAAAAGTTTCAGATTTGTGTGTAATATTATTTTATTTGGAGATTGTGTGGTTGAAATGAAAAAAGAGAATGAGAATGAGAATGGGTGCCAAACAGGGGCTTAATACTGTTGGGTACTTTCCACTCCATCTTACAAATTATGCAATAAATTCATCCAAGCTGTGGTAGTACTTACATCGTCAAGGGAATGGCAACGGTCAGCTATTTCTTCGAGAGTTAAAGGTTCGACGGGCTCTTTACAGCTGAACCGGGAAGCAATAAATTGAAAAACAACGTTAGTTACTCTTCAGCTAGATATACTGAAGAGTCAATCCATAATGCGCACATTTACAATCCATAAGTTGAAAAACAATGTTAGTTACTCTTCAGCTAGATATACTGAAGAGTCAATCCATAATGCGCACACTTACAATCCACATTTTTTTACACTAACAAGTATTCGTAAGTTCATTAATTCTAGTTTTCAAAAAGAAAAGAAAAAAGAGGTTGCACTTAACACAACGCATAAATGCTCCCCGAAATAGGCTACTCTTTACTTGTTGCTAATAAAAAACAAGCAAACCTCGTGACTTGCAAATTATTATATGTACTTCTTAACATATAAAGAATTTGGCAGTATAGATAGAGATGGAAATGTCCCACTAATGAACTGAAAAACGTAACGAACTCTAATTTACTTCCTCCAACTCCAAATAGAGAACAATTTAGATGAGAAACCATGTATTTAAACTGGAAAAGGTCTTGTCTTGCATTGTCCTGTTTGCAGGCTTGCAGCATTGGAACAATCAATCTTTGGTGAAGGGGAAATTCCAAGTAATTGAGTAAGATACACAATATGTTATGATATTGAATATTAGGCAATTGAGAAGAAAAACGAAAATTCAATGTGGTCGGAAGTAGAATGTTAAGATGGATTGAGGTAAACATAAAAAGTGAGAATTAAGCATATTTAGGTTGTTTTAGTCAATTGGCCTATGCAGATAAACTGCAGGAGTATCAATTAAGAGAAAAATCTGAAGACCTTCCAGAGGTCAACCAAATATTGACCCCTACTGAAGTAACAAGAAAGGATTCTAGCCTTCGTGTTTGACAATTGAAATGGCCATTGATAGAGCAAAGTAGAAGAGGATGCATGTAGCTGACGCAAAGCATGGAGAAGTACGAAATGAGGCTCTATGAAGTTAAATTGAAAATCAATATTGAACACCAGCATCCAAATTGAAGATACGACTTTAAACTGAACAAACATTATTTATTCCTTCATCAATGGCGGCATAACCCTTTGTCCCTCTATTTCTAGGCTCTTTCATAGCCCAAAACACTACCCACCCATTATCCTTTCTAACACAATCCATATGTGATATTTTCCCCCACTTTCCAACCAACACACTCCAAGGTTATATAGAAAGATATAAAACCCATCTAGGTATGTCGTGCATCTAACAGAGAGCCTTGAATTGAAATATTTGTCCAACATAAAGCTATGATTTTTCTTCGCATAAAATATTGTAGGCCTACCTTGCCTCATTTAGTACCGCAAGAACACGCTTTTGAAGAGCTAAAACTTCTCCTGCTGCTTTCTTGCCAGCTTCCACACCTGTATAATTAGCAGGCGAGTGTAAACCAGGGTGAAGTAACTAGAGAAGCACATGCATGAACTAAAATTTCTGATACCATAAGTATTCTCCATTATGAAAGATCCCTCCGAAACCTCAATGAAAAGCCTTGAAAATGTGACAATGACAGTTACATTCTTAGTTCAGTGTGAAATCTCGGAAGAAGGCAAGGGAAAGCAGTTTACCGGGTTGATGGTAGGCATTAATGTTGACCAGAGAGGCATAAATTCCAACTGCTCGCTCATAGAGTGCTACCATAGCCCCAACAGATCTAGGCGTTACTTCTTGCACAGTGACAGTAATGGATTCTCGCTCATTGGAATATAGAGCAGATCTTGTTCCCTGCATACATTTGGATCAAATTTTAAAATAGCATCATCTGAAAATAGTGCCAACATTGTAACATATATGAAACAAGAATTTTGAAAATCATGAGATCAGAGGGGACTAATAGACAGTTAATATCATGCAGTTTATGTCATGCATTCACTAAATAAATGGGGTTCACAAAACTAACCTATAACATAGAAATAAAATTGATATAAAGCATGAGAAATCAACCTGTAGAAATCCAAACAGGTAGTCACCACAAGTGACCCCTGGCTCAAGCTCCCAATCATGGCCAGGTGGTCTGTCACGTAGAACTTCAATGAATGTCACAAAAAAGTTGTGCACACCATCTCTCAGCTGTTGAATGTACCTGTAAAAATTGATATCTTCATGCTTATCCCAGTGGAAATCTGTACACGCGCATATACAAACTATAAAATTAGAATGAACACCTACGCATGTTGATCTGTGCTCCCTTTGTTTCCATAAACAGTGAGCCCTTGATTCACCTGCAAATAAGCAAAGAATGGGCAAAACATGAAATCAACATCACATCTCAGTTTCCTATATAAGAAATTTCAAAATTATATCTGATCACTAAAACATTCTCATCACCTCATAATTCTATCAAGGCAAGAAAGTTGAAGAGAACTATTAGTGGACGATGTATCAGTTGCGTTGAAAATCAATCACTGCTAATTGCTAATGATATATTACAACAGATATAGCAGTTAGTGTGAAGCATTAATAATTGGGCCTTTGCTCAAGTCATTATTTAGGAATGAGGATAGGTTCCCAAATAATGGATATTTGGAGAAGTCCGAGTCCAGGAATTTTTTAAAAAATTATTCATGTATAATTCTGTTTGGCAGAAATAACATTTTCAAAGCACATGGATGGAAAAAATTTTGAGCTTTCCACAATTCCTTCCTGAGATGCACAGAACCAAAGTATATTTCTTTAAAGAAATTTCGGTCCTGAAATGTTGGATTAGTACCCAAATTTCAAATATGACCTAATTAGTTCATCTAACTGGAGCCTGTTATGCAAATCGAATAGAGGATAATGTCATTTATTTTGCAAGCATAACAAGAAGAACAACCCTGGTTTATTAATTTGATATTTCTGTTTCTCCTTGGAAAAAGGAATTCCTGGCCAAAAAGAAAAATCTAAAAAAACAAACTTACAAACAGAAAAGGCACATAACGCATTGCTTTGTTCACCACTCACTCACTATCTCCCAGCATAGACGCTACCACCTCTGATAATTTAAATTGTTAAGTACTTTGATTTCAGATCACTTTATTATTTCTAAAAAGTTCAAATAGTCCTTATAGGAGTCTTTGGTATATGGTTAAGAATATATTCTGTATTTTCATGCTTCCAAATTCAAATCAAGCCATTACCTACATAAAATTTTCAATTCTTTTTGTATATGGATCCAACCATCCTGCTGTTTTATTGGCCATAATCAGAAGAATATGAACCAGTGCATGTGTCCTGAAAATGTAGGATCATGTCCGACTTTGGAAGAAAAGTTGTTCACTAAAAGAAAAATGCATAAAGCTTGTTGCTTGATGAAATTCACAATTTATTACCGACTGACAAAGTAATCTATTCAAGATTTTACATGAAAACTATATTTGGTCATAATTACTAAATCTTTCCTTAAGGTCATAAAGGCACAAATTGAATTGTAAAGGTAATAAGTTCAAAATTAAGACCTTTGCATGTTATTCTGGAAGACGGATCACAGCCATCAACATGATTACAAAGATACTAAGATAGCATAAATATATTCCACATAAACAAAGCTAATACATATACATAATCCAGATAAAAGGAAAATATCACTTACATACACGAACTTTTTCGTATACAAGTTTTCGGGGTCGAAGTGCCTTCTCTTTTTTAATTTTTTTTTTTTTGTTTTTAAGGGT